TTTCGTTGAATTCATGAAATATTTATAAGAGACTGAAAGTGCAAGAACTCAAAACTTTTTTTCGTTTCAGCCTCCTCCCAGTAAATGTTGTATTCATATTGTGGTACAAAATGACATCTTTTAAACTGTTTTCTTAACTCAATGCTATTTATCTACAAACATATACAATTTATGTAATAATTTAATAAATACAATTTATAGAATAATATATATAATTATATAAGTTTGTCTTTCTTAATATGAAAAGTGAACACCAGTTTTCACCTATGTACTTATTTGTCTGAGACAAATTTTCTCAAAACACGTGACGAAAAATGAAAGACACAGAACACCTGTAGAATTTTTGAAATTTCGAATATAAACCAACGAGTAGCGATTTGTTTCGATGAGATTACGAAATGACAGACTCAGAGGTAGTGAACGAAGTACTCGAATGCTCGAGATCTCGTGAAAATCGTCTCCCCAAAAGGGCTTCGGGTCCGGGGAGATAGGCGAGGAAAACAAGAAGGGAAAAGCGAAGAACGAAGCGAATAACGTATGTATGGTAATGCTGTTGCATGGCTTGTCTTTGACCTCCCGCCTCGAAACTGTTGGAAACCTACCTACCATCTACGACCTTTACTCTGTCTTTTTCATAGGACATGTATCACTTCGAATTTTCCATCTCACTGACTCTTGACGATCAGTCTAGTCTTGATTCAATTTTATTTCAATGCAAATACTTTCTATATATAACAAATGTACCAATTTCTATTCACGTCACAACTTCTAGTCAATGCATCTTTTCCATAATTTTATCTCAAGTCAGTAAATAGATAGAAATAGGACATTCACCTTATTATTAAACTATGAATTTTTATATAAATTGAAATTCTGTAATCCTTTTGTTAGATCCACTTGCATCCCCCTTGGGGATGACTTCGAGTAGGCATAATTATTCTAATATACTGTTGGTACTATTATTTCCACCCTCACTTTCTCCAGTAAGTTACATTAATTATAGAGTGTAGGTAGTGTTAGAATATCTCCTTTCTAACAATTTTTATCAAGGACTTGCACTAACTAATTGTCATTATTTCTAATCTCTTTTAAGTGAAAATTTTAGAACTCTTTCGACCACATGGTACCCTTTCTTCTTCCTATGTCAATCCTAACAGCTGAAATTTCTATCAGCATGTTTCAAACATTCACAGTTGGAGAATCTTGCTTTGTTCCTCTCTGCAATACGTCACAAGGTTTAATTCTCAATGATATACCTTAGTCACATGTTACAAATGAACTGATCAAAGCTTTGATATCACGCTTTCCATATTGTGCCTAAAAGAAAATATCCACGATGTTATCACCGTGTGTACGTGTATACACCCTGTCAGTGTCTATCATCGATATTATCCACATGTTTGCCGCTATCGTTTCAAGTAGACGAGGAAAGTTTCGAGCGACAAGGTGAGCGACGCCGTCGCGTCGCTACGATCTGGCGTCGTTATCGCGGCCGTCTTTCGCTCAGGAAAATCAATTCATCAACAGAAATCACGTTGTGAAACTCGGTTTCTTGAACGGCAGGTAAATAGGACGTGCAGAAAATTGGAAAGTACTGGCACGGAATTATTGATAGACACGAGTCATACATAAATGACTGACTGAATGTAAGAATAAATGCGAAAATACACTATAATTTGATATCCATATAGATACACATTTAGATACACAGCCCTTTAGGACATACAAATAAAAATAAAAAGATGCGTGACACATTTAAGGATGTATTGGCTATACAGTCA